ACCTTGGCTCAGGTGATTAGAGGATCATCAGGGGGTCCTTTGGTCCCTCTGTGGGGGGATACTCCCACTAGGTTTATATCTGGGACTCTCCACCATTTGACCTTAGAACTGAAGAAGCTTCTCGGATGAGAGGTGAAACGTCTTCAAGTAACTTAAAGAAGTCCAGACGCTTTTCTTTGCAAGCTCCTTTGACAAATCAGAGTTTACTTTAAGTTTGTACTGTGTAAAAACAGAAAACAAGGAGAAGCTTGAGAAAATTTAACTCTGCAAATGTATTTTAAAAACATCTTTAAACAAAGGTGAGCAGGATCTTTAGAAATGTTAATTAGTCCTGACCTGTCTTCCACAACAGCTCTGCAAAAGGCCAATGTATTCATCCACTCAGAAGCAAGGGGGCTCTTTTGAAGTAAGCAATCAAAAACTGTGGGGTTACCTTGGGAATATGAATAATGCATTTGCAAATGGATCTGTTTAAGCACAGAAAAGTTTTATACATTCGTTTAAGATTTCAGGAACCCAAGCCAGCAAAGATGTGTGATTGCTGTAGTTTGAGTTCCCCTCCAAAAAATTTTACACCATTTGGACAGAGCCAGTGATGAGGACCAATAGTTTTGTTTTTGTTCACAATGATGTTGTTAATATGTCCATGAAATGACAAATGATCTCATCCATGATGAAGAAAGCCGGGCTTTGTGTTAACTGGCTAAATCTCTGGTTATAGTATGGTTAAGTGGTATCACATTGGTAGTCATCAACTTTCTTTAACCCAGAGTTTCTTTTTCAGGTTCACACAAAAGGGCGTGTTGCACAAAACATTGGACTACACTTCCTCACAAACTTGAGTGAGTAAGTAAGTGCACCCTACCCTACTATATATATATAATTTTACAAGTCACACTTAACAAGAAATCCTGTGAAACCAGCTGTTTCTAAGTAATATTTTTTGTGGCTAAAACCACTTTGTTTTAAAAACAAACAAACATTTCTTGTGCTTTTCACTCACAAAGAGACTCAGTCACATCTTCAGACACTCTGATTAAAAGTTGTCCTCTAGAGCTGTTATTTGGGAGTTACAGATTAGTGACATCCCCTGGGTATATTCATTCTTCATTGCTGCCTAGCTCAGTTTTATCTCAGTTTAGCTAAGCATCTGATGTTCGAATAAAATAATCTCATAGATATTCCCCAAAGACTCTTTGCAGTTTGGGGCCATTTCTATAAACCATAAAAGACTGTTAGACTTTCAGAAAGGCCATTTAAATTAACTCTCAATAAAAACAAGTCATTGACTGAGGAAAAAAATGTTACAGAGCCAAATGAGACAGACAACAAACACCATCTACATCAGCAAAACATCCAAAATACAAGCTCTTCAATTTAATACTGAACGTGGTGAATCACGTGTGGGACTGCTACTAAAGTGGTTACACTTATTCCAGTAGTTACATAGTAGCCACTTGAGGCAAGCTTCAAAAGTGAGTCAGTCCCCACAAATTCAACTGAACTGCCAGTTGTTGAGTTGTTGAGGTCCCACAAACTGCAGCTCCTTGAATACGTCAGGCTCAGTGTAATTGTGTTTAAAAACCAAAGAAACAGTTGTAATACAGATTATACACAGATTATACATACATGTCACATTTTCCAATCCAAACAATTAAATTCAATTTTATTCAACACTAAACACAAATGATATGATATATGGCCTGGAAGAGCCATTTACCATCCAGTTAGCTGACAACCCGTCATGCTCTGCCCCAAAGATGATAAGAGATCAAGTCAAGTCAAGTGGCTGTATTGTCATTTCAAACATGTGCACTGTTACAGTACACAATGAAGCGAGATAACATTATTTCAAGACCATGGTGTCACATATAATATATAACAGAGAATCAGCACAGGACTACATATAGTGCAAGTGTGCAAAAAATGCAAAAAACAAAAACAGCGCAATACCAGTCAGAACAGATCGATACACACACAAGACAGTGCAGACATACCAGTGCAATAGAAAGTGCAACAATGACAGTGGGTTGTGCAAAAAGACTGAGCATTGTGCAAAAAAAAAAGATTAATGATAAGCTAGTAGCACGCAAGTGATCCAAATGCAAAAATACTAAATGGCAGGTAGTTATGATGCTGTTTTGATCTGCAGGTTGTAACCACAAAATAATTTTGCATGCGCTAATTTTACATCCACTTTTAAGAGGCCACATTGTGGCGGTGTTTCTGTCAGTATCTTATATGAAGAATGGACTTCTTTGAATTCTTGAAGAATTTGTCCCACAGGTGCTGCAATCACACAATTCAGAAAAGTAGAAGTTAAAAGAAGGGAGGAC